TTTTTTCCTCCACACAGAGAACATTGCTTGCCATAAGCAGGACATTGTTTCAACTTATGTCGAGAACCACATCGTTTGCAAGCATACGTGTCATCTTCCAAGTGCTGTACATGTCGATTCTGTTTTCGATGTTTCCATTTATTGGAAACTGCACCAACTGCTACAGTTTCACTCTCCATGTTTGGATGGTCCTCTACTTTGTTGAAAGTCCTCAGGTGAATCCGGGAGAGTTCACTGGCTTGGCAAATCTTTACAGCTGCTTCCATAGTAAGCTCTGATTCTCTCAACAGCCTTTCACGAACCGACTTGTCTTCAACACCAAACACAATTTGGTCACGAATCATAGAGTCTTTCAGTGTTCCAAAGTTGCATGTCTGAGCTTTCAGCCGTAGATCAGTCAGAAAACCATCAAACGGTTCATGTTGTTGCTGTACACGAGATCGAAACATATATCTCTCGTAAGTTTCATTTTTCTTTGGCGAGCAGTGTGCATCAAAATGCTCAAATACCTTATCCAACTTGTCTTTGTCTTCTTCATTATCAAAAACAAAGGTGTTGTACACTTCAATGGCTTGTGGACCTGCTATCGTCAGCAGTAGTGCAACTTTTCTGCTGNGTCGAATGCTAGATGTTCTAGCTGCAAGATTTGTAATAAATTTTCCTATAAAGTTCACCATTCCCATGATGCGCTGTACTCCAGTTTTATCTTTGGGTCTTGGCATGTTGAGTATGGCATTTATTTTCTCTTGACTTGGCTGAACACCTTGTGCTGACAACTTATTTCCTAAAAAAATGATTTCTTCAACCCCAAAATGACATTTACTTTTGTTAAGTTTTAGTCCATGACTTTCTATGCGGTCAAATACTTTTACAAGCCTCTCATTACGCTCTTTAAGAGTAGAACCCCAGATGATGATGTCATCAACATATACTCTAACTCCTTCAAGTCCTTCAATAATCTGCTCCATTGCTTTATGAAAGATCTCGGATGCAGAGATTATTCCAAAGGGTAGTCTCAAGAAGCAGTATCTTCCAAAAGGAGTATTAAAGGTACAGCATTTACTGCTACTTTCATCAAGTTTCAGCTGCCAAAAACCTTGTGAAGCGTCTAATTTTGTGAAATACTTGGCACCTGCCATTTCACTTGTGATCTCTTCACTTTTGGGTATCTGGTAATGTTCACGTTTAATGCTTTCATTCAAATCCTTTGGATCCATACACAATCTTAGTTCCCCATTCTTTTTTTTCACACACACCATCGAGCTGACCCAGTCTGTTGGTTCTTCAATTTTTTTAATCACCCCCAGCATAGTCATGCGTTCCAGCTCTTTCTTTACTTTATCTCTTAATGGTGTGGGAACTCTTCGAGCAGGATGTACGACTGGTTTTGCATTTTCTTTCAGCTGGATTTTATATGTGAATGGTAACACACCAAATCCTTTAAACACATCTGCATAGTTTTGCACGATAGAATCAACAGAATTATCTGCTGTACTCACGGTTGTGTTAATATGATTCACTCTTTTCACCAGCTGCAAATCTTCACAGGCTTTGTCACCTAGCAGAGAGTCCAGACCTTCACTAACAACAGAGAAATATAGATGATGCTTTTTTCCTTTGACAGTCACTTTCAGTTGACATGTTCCCAAACATTTTATGCTCTTTCCATTATAATCTCTGAGTGTCACCATTTTACTCTCCACCTTTGGCTTATTTCTCATTTTTTTAATATCAGACAAACTGATCAGGTTTGCTTTAGCACCAGTGTCCAATTTCATGTTGATCATTGTGCCATTAATTTGCAATGGTGCTATCCATTTATCTTCAGTGATAACATTAATCATTTCATGTGGTTCATTTTCACAGTTTACCACACCCACGAAAAATGTATCACACAGATCAGTGTCTTCAACCAAATTAACAAACTTTTCTTTCCTAACTTTTCTTTTCGAAAANCATGTATGTATGTATGTACGTATATCTTTATATATGTATGGGTATGTGTATATTTTTATATATGCCCTCCATGTACTTTTCCATTTATTTTTCAGGTGAGCGGACAGATGTTGGGTGTGTGGTCCTGTGTTTTGTTGGTGTATATTTAATATATGTCTAATCGCTATTTCAGTCTTTCTAATTACTTCTCTCTCTGTTTTTCTCACCGTCTCTATTTTCTCTTCACGTCAAAAAAGTCACTGATGATGATGAAATAAACTAAATAAACTAATATTTGGTTTCGTTTTCTACTGAAGTGACACAAAAAAGTATTAGTTCATTTTATTTAAACAAACAAACAAAACAAAACAAAATACATTATATACAACAAAACAATGCAAATAAAATAAAATGAAAGGCAGCAGAAGAAAGAAGAAAAAAATCTTTCTGCTTTCTGCTCTGGAGCTACGGGTATTTGTGCACGTGTGTGTGTACTTGTATTTATTACTGTTTTAGGACCGTTTCTTGTATACACACTTACCTTTTAAAGACCACAGAGGACCAAAGACCAGTCCTAATACGGTGGAACTCCATTTTTGGTCTGGGCGTTAGGTTTAGGATTAAGTATGTAGCCTACTGTTGGGGTTAAGTGTGGGGTTAAGGGTCTGGGTTAGGCTATATTGATGACTGGAAATGAATGAAAGCCAATGAAAAGTCCCCATGAGGATGGAAAAAACAATGTGCGTGTGTGCAATGTCCAGGTGGAAATACATCAGCAATGATCTCGTAATTATTTTCAGAATGGTTAAAGGTCATCAGCAAACTATTAGAGTCCATCATTCTACAGTGAGAAAGAATATTTGCAAATGAAAAAAATTAAAGATGGCCGCTAATCTACCAGGAGTAGATGTCACAATAAATTCACCCCAAGGTCAGACTGCGTAATGCTTAGAGTCATAGGGAAAAAAAGAAGCTCCATGTCAGATTCTACAGGCCTCAGTTAGCAGGACAAACACATGAGAATCCATACGGGACAGAAACCACTTGAATGTGAGGACAATATTATACAAAAATTTATACATGAGGCTAATTTAAACTATCATGTGAGAGTCCAAACAGGACAGAAACCATTTCAATGTGGGGACTGTGGACAAAGATTTAGTCGGAAGGCTAGTTTAAACAGTCACATGAGAGTCCACACAGGTCAGAAACCATTTAAGTGTGAGGACTGTGGACATAGATTTGGCCAAAATGGTACTTTAAACAAACACACAAGAATCCACACAGGACAGAAACCATTTGAATGCAAGGACTGTGGGCATAGATTTAGCCATAAGGCTAATTTAAGCAGACACATGAGAGTCCACACAGGACAGAAACCATTTGAATGCGAGGACTGTGGACATAGATCAAGCCAACACAAAAATCCATACAGGACAGAAACCATTTGAACATGAAGACTGTGGACAAAGATTTAGCCATAAGACAACTTTAAATGCGCACATGAGAGTCCACACAGGACAGAAACCGTTTGTATGTGGGGATTGTGGACATAGATTTAGCCAAAGGCTAATTTAAACTCACACAAGAGAGTCCACAAAGGACAGAAACCGTTTGTATGTGAGGACTGTGGACAAAGATTTAGCCATAAGACTACTTTAAATGGACACTTATGAATCCACACAGGACAGAAACTGTTTGTATGTGGTGATTGTGGACATAGATTTAGCCAAAGGCTAATTTAAACTCACACAAGAGAGTCCACAAAGGACAGAAACCGTTTGTATGTGAGGACTGTGGACAAAGATTTAGCCATAAGACTACTTTAAATGGACACTTATGAATCCACACAGGACAGAAACTGTTTGTATGTGGTGATTGTGGACATAGATTTAGCCAAAAAGGTACTTTAAACAAACACATGGGAATCCATTCGGGACAGAAACCATTTGAATGTGGTGATTGTGGACATAGATTTAGCCAAAACTGTACTTTAAACAAACACATGAGAATCC